TTTGTAAAAAAAGACAAAAACCCAACAAAATGGATCAAAATTAACGTTATTTTATACTGTTCTGAAAGATTTAGCTTGTTTTTGGAGCAATGCTTGATTAGCAAACCTTAACTTCAAAAAATCATATCTTGAAAATTACTCGGTATATTTTTTTGAAAATTTAGATTACAACTAATAAAGAGATGCTAATGACGAAAAAAAATTTACTCGTAGGATTTTTCTTAGATTATTTCGATTTACTTCGAACTTCTTCGAAGACCGTTTGAAGAAAAGTTTGCCAATATTCAATTTCAAGTTTCATATCATCCTAAAGGACAAAGCCATCCCTTTAAAATGGTCTTTATTTGAAGGAAATCGGCCTAATAGTTATTGAGTAATGATTTTTTAAAGTTAAAGTATTTTAAATTCATTTAAATTAGAAAAAAATTAATTAGTTCAAAGTGTGTGGACTTTTTGAAATTTTTTTAGTGCATTTGATTTGTCTCACCGAGACGAACAAAATGATATAAAATTCATCAAGTTGTCACGACATGACTTTTTTTTTGTCGCCCTGTGTAATGCACCTAAGATAATGAAGACATACAGTTTGAGGCTCGTGCAAATTTTGGTATTTTAACGAGCTTCATTATTTTAGCAAGCACGGAAACGGATGTGAGTGGAACGTTTGCTAGTCAATTAGTTCCACTAATGGGAACCAAAAGTAAAAAACCGACTGCAGCTGAGGATTGTCTCCCTTGGCGAAGGGAGTTTTCTAATGTTAATGGTACGAGACTGTAGTACCGCTTGCTTAGTGCAGTTTTTAACACACAAAAATATTTGGTATTTTGAGCTATTGAGTGGAATATATGCCTTTTTTTCTGAAACTGTCAAATAATACCAAGTATTTCGATTAGAGTAGAGAGTAGAATTAGGCTTAATTTTAATTGCAAAAAATACAAAATTGTAAACTCATTATCCATTATCATTAGAAACGTATGACGACAATTGAATCAACCTTGAGATAATTCCAGAATCCACAAAAAGCCATTTCGGAACAATTCCGTTGTAGAAAGCCTTTGTTCGGGGCACTGTATTCCCGCCATTCGCCACGTCACAGAAATAATTCGAATATTACCCAATTCCAACCTTCACCAAATTACCTTTCACAATATCATATACTATATTAATTGAAATATTTTTTTTCAAGATACCTAAATTATTAATTGCTAAAACAGATTTTTTTAATAATAAATATCCAGTAAGGTATAAAAATAAAACGTCATTATTATTTAATTTTCGGAAAATTTGACCAAATTTTGCAAAAAATTGTGCTTTTTCTGTTGAAATAAACTTCAGCAGAGAATTTTTCAGGTCAAAAATGTAATGTGTTGAATAAACCTAAAATTTGGACTTGAAATTTTACAAAATTATTTTTTTAGTGGCTTTAAACCAGAATTTTGTATTAGAAGTTTTAAGTTTATTTCTTAAGAATAAATTTGAAAGTCAGAAATTAAAATAAATAAATCCAAATAGGAAATTGTTTTAGTAAAAATAGCAACGAGGGGGGTTATGTGTTGTCGAATCTAAAAAAACATGCTTTACTAAAGGAAAAATAATTTTAATTTTGAAATAAGAAAGTTTTGTTTATAATTTCATAAACAAAAAAAAATACTCTGAGTTTATAAAAAATAATTCGAATATTACCCAATTTCAACCTTCACCAAATTTTACCTTTCACAATATCATATATTTATTTAATAATTTTTTTCATGACACCTTCTGAATTATTAATTGCTAAAACAGATTTTTTAATAATAAATATCCACTAAGGCATAAAAATAAAACGTCATTATTATTTAATTTTCTGAAAATTTACAATTACGGTTCAAAAATTGACTTAGAGTTTTTGCCAAAATTTTGCAAAAAATTGTGCTTTTTCTATTCTATAAACTTCAGCAGCCAAATTTTCTGGTCAAAAATGTAATGTGGTTGAAAAACCCTAAAATTTGGACTTGAAATTTTGCATTTTTTTTTAGAGGCTTTAAATCAGAATTTTGAATTAGAAGTTTTAAGTTTGTTTCTTAAGAATAAATTTGAAAGCCAGAAATTTAAATAAATCCAAATAGGAAAAATAGCAACGAAGAGATAAATAATAATTGTTATGTGTTCATTAACAAAAAAATACTCTGAATTTATGGCAAAATTTTGCAAAAACTGTGCTTTTTCTATTGAAATTTAGCAGACACAATTTTTCTGGTTCCTTTTATTGTCAAAAAAGTAATATTAAAGAGTGTTGAATAAACCTAAAATATCGACATGAAATTTTCGAAATTAAGTGAGAAAAAAACTGCGTATTTATTAAGATCATGTTAAGAAATTTCTATTTTTTGTTCATTTTCAAAAAATTGTGCTTTCTCTATTGAAGTAAACTGTGATGAGTAAACCTAAAATTTGGACTTGAAATTTTGCAAAATTATTTTTTTAGTGGCCTTAAACCAGAATTTTGAATTTAGCAGACAATTTTTCTGGTCAGTTTTGTTGTGAAAAGAGCAATGTTAAAGAGCGTTGAATAAACCTAAAATTTTGACATGAAATTTTGCAAAAATATTTCTTTGTTGTTTTCAAGTTTATTTCTTGAAAGACATAAACTAAAATAAAAAACAAAAAGGGAAGTTGTTTTAGTAAGGAGATAAAAAATATTTGTTTTATGTTGTCGAATCTAGAAAATAAATGAGAAAGGAAAAATGAAAAAAAAATCCGTTGTGTTTTGTTTTTTATTAAGATCTGTTTTTTTAATTATTTCATTTCATTTCCTGGCTTCAACAAGACACGCATAAAATCTCAAATAATTCAAATATTTTTGACAAATAAAAGCTGCAGCACTCAAAATCGTATGTATTGTTATCTATGGTGCTTTGCTCCAATGCAAGCTTTCTTGGCATTTTTGCATGAATTGCTCACTTCTCCATTTTCTGTATTTGAAGAAAGAGTGTTACTTCTTACTCACATGATGCAACACTCTTCTGGCATTAATTCGTCACAATTTGAGCACTGTATTGTATGTTTAGTTACAGATGAGAGTATTTTCTCAGATACAGGAAAACGCATGTCAAGAGGTTCCATAGATGGTATGTAGACCTATCCTTTTAAACTTAATTTGTTTGCAGGCACGTCTTTTGGTTTGCTATAAAAACAAAATTTCGCTTGTTTCATTCTCCACGTCACAAAATTTCAACAAACACCCAAAATTTCAAACATAAAAGTTTTGTTTTTACACTAATTGGGAAAATATTGTTGCATCTGTTACATCACATGTTTTGTTCTTTAGGAGGAGATTTAATGCGCGTCACGACGCCCACGGCGATTGAAACAATGCTACCTTGGAAACGTGAGGAGGAAGAAGGTTCTGTACCTTTACAGCAATCCGAATTTCCGGCGTGGGCGTCCAATAAAGAATATTTAGCTTACAATTCGCCGTCTGCAACGTTTTTAGGTAAACAATTATTTTTAGAAAAGTCACTTCTGTGAATTCTCGAGGGATAAATTCGTGTCAATGAGACTTTCTTATTTAATAATTAACTTTCTTGAACAAGTTTTTTGTGACAAACACGATGTTAAACCCACGTACTTGCTATTTATAATTAGGAAAGCGCAAATGATGTTAACATTGCGCTCTAAATTACTTCTAAATGTAATGAAAATTTATACAGGGTGTCCAGCGAGTTGAAAAAGTCCATTAGTGACGTTTAAATGGTGAAATTTTTAAAAAATTGTATAGATACTAATCTATCAACTAAAATTATTTTCAACCTACAGCATGTCCCAAAAATAAGTTACGTTTTTTTGACAAAAACTTGCACCTTTTTTTGTAATAAAAATCCACATCAAAAAACACTAAGAAACATATGGTGTGACATTTAAAAAAACAAAAATTTGTATTGTAACTTATTTTGAGACACGCTGTATAGTTGAAAATAATTTTAGGCGATAGACTAGATTAGTATCTATCAATGTCCTATTTATTTTTTTAAATTTTATCATTTAAAGGTTACTAATGGACTTTTTCAATTTGCTGGGACACCCTGTATATAGCTCGAAATCCATTTTTTTTCGAAAAGTTACTTCAAGTGTAATTTGTTTAGTAACAATTGGAAAAATTCATATTTGGTAATTCAATACAACTTATCAGAATTAATTTTGAGCTTATCTTAGTAAAAGGTTTTTTAGTGGGTGGAAAGCTGGCACATTTCCAATATTTTTATTTCCATGTCCCAGATTTTATGACTTTAAACTTAACATCTAGTTGTCATCAAATTAATTAAGCACGACTTTGAAATCTTTGCATAAAAGGCTTTTGGTGTTTAAGAGTTTTTACCCTTTTACCAAAGAATTTAAAACTATTAATTAATAAAGAGCAAAAATGTATATATTACATGTTTTAACTCCAAGAGAGAAAAATTCCATACCTTTAATAAATTTTCATTAAATTTGGGGTATTCTAGTACCTACTTTAAGTGGAATGAATTTCAAAATTTATTTCTGGACTATTTACTTACTTATTAATACCAAAAAGAATTTCGAAAGAGTAAATAATGGAGTTGCGTGTTATCGAATAAAAAAAACAAGCTTTTCTAAAAAAAAAAAAAATTTTAATTTAGAAATAAGAAAGTTTTGTTTATAATTTCATAAACAAAAAATTACTCTGAATTTATGACAAAATTGTGCAAAAAATGTGCTTTTTCTATTGAAATTTAGCAGACACAATTTTTCTGGTCCGTTTGATTGTCAAAAAAGTAATATTAAAGAGTGTTGGATCACCCTAAAATCATGGAATTTTGCAAAAATATTTTTTGTTGTTTCAAACCAGGAGTTTTCAAGTTTATTTCTTGAAAGACAAAAATTAAAATGAAAAACAAAATAGGAAGTTGTTTTAGTAATATTTGTTCTATTTTGTCGAGTCTAAAAACATGAACTCTGTTGTGTTTTTTATTAAGATTAAGTCAAGGATCCACAAAAATCTATTTCACAACAAATTCCGTTCTAAAAAGCCTTTGTTTAGGGCAGCGTGATCCCGCCATTCGCAACGTCACAGAAATAATTCGAATATTACCCAATTCCAACCTTCACCAAATTACCTTTCACAATATCACATTATATTTATTTCATAATTTTTTTCAACACACCTAAATTATTTTTCCTAAAAGACATTCATTTAAATGAGGGCATAATAATAAAAACAAATGAAAAAAATTCATATTTGGTAATTCAATACAACTTATTAGAATTAATCTTGAGCTCATCTTAGTAAGAGGAAAATTCCATATCTTTACTTAATTTTCGTTAGATTTGATGTATGTTAGTACCTATTTTAAATAGAAAGAATTTCAAAATTTATGTCTGTATTTGCTATTTAATACTAAGAAAGTGCTTTTTTATAT